TTATACTTGTTTGATTCCAGGGGGGGGGGGCAAATGCCCCCCCCCTGCGGACGCCCATGGTCTAGAGACAGTATAACGCCAATCGTGGTCCGCATTTGCAAAATATTAGTGCGTTTTGAAACCTATAAAAGAGAAAGTGTCGCAACCGATGTGCCCATGACTGTACAATAGTAGCGAAAACTTTGCTGGAATTTTTGATTCTGACTATATATGCTCTCCTCGTATAGTTGGAGTAATAAGGATTGTGCAGAATCTTATCTTATTTATTCGGAACTAGCGCAGAAATGCGCTTTTAAATTTCTCTTGCTTTTTTTTCTGAGTTTTTTTTCGAATTCTCTGAATTACAATGAGAAACTTTTGGCAGTGACGGTAGCCCAAATTCAAAACTCCTAAAAATCCAAATTAAAATCCTTATAACGTTGGATCGCTTCAGTGAATCGACTCCGGCTTTTGTCGCAAGTCTCCGCAAACATATGTATAAGAGTAAAATTTTTGTTAAATTCCTAATATTTTAAAAATAGGTGCTAAACGCCCTTAACGAACGTCTCGATCGCGGAAATCGGGAGACGCGAGATGTACATAAAAGCGAAAAATGTTGCGCCCGTCGATCGGTCATTCAAGTACCGCGAGTGGCGCGAGTAAACGAATGCAGGGGCGTCGCGCCGTGACGTGCAACCATGTTAGATCTGCAAATCGGCAACCATAGCTGCGTACGATTTTTTTTTGTGCAACTTCCAATAATGTCGCCAATGACTCATCTATGAATATTATAATTACGGTTACGCAAGCGCACGCGCGCGCGCGCGTGACGACGTTTTTTTCGATGTGAAACGCGCATGCAAATCGTAAGTCACAGCTCCGAATGCCGAAGGAAAAAGTCGGATATATATATATATATATATACACTTTTGCGAGACGATTCGAGGGAGGCTGAAGAAAGATGCATCCTTCATTGCCGTATTATCGAGACTATCGAGAGAGACATGCACCCCCCCCCCTTCACCACTTCCAAAGAAATTCTGATTCGTAATCTTTCATAGACTTCCAGAAACTCCAGAAAGGAATGTGGCCCTTCTGGCCCTGACTGAAGTCCAGGAAACTACTGAATCCGTGGTGCTAAGATTCTGACAACCAAAGGCAAAAGAAGAAAAGGAAGAATGTGGTTAATAAGTAAACACGAGAGCGAGCTCGATCTCGGAGCTCTACAACGCCGGACGCGCGCAAAGAGAGAGAGAGAGAGAGAGAACGCGCACCATGTGCACGCGATCTTCTCTACGTCAACTTGCCAAGGGATAACCTAATCTCCCTTTTCCTCGGACGCGCCCGCGGAGGAAAGATTCATTCAAGCCCTTTGACGTCCAGGACCTACGACAACTGTGGTACTTAGATCCATACTGATCTGACAACCAAGGCAAGAAGAAGAAGAACTGAAGAAGAACTGAAGAAGATTCATTCGTACCGGCTGGTGGCCGAGGCGCTGCCGCGTTTACTAATAATACTAATCGGCTAAAGGTTAGAGGACGCCGCGCCGCGCTTTCCCCGGGGGAAACCGGCGCGCGCCAACGGCGGCGTGCCGGCTCTTCGCGTCCGTCGTCGCCGTCATTGTTGTCGTCGGCGACGCAGACCGCCGCCGCCGCGATTGACGTCGGCAGCCATTGACGCGCGGCCGAAAAGCGCGCGGTGCGCGTGGTGCAAGAAGCACCACGACGGCTCGGTGCGACCGCCTCTCCGGTGCCGCGTTCTCTCGGCACAGTCGCTCTTGTCTCTCTCTCTCTCTCTGTCTCTCCCACTCTCCGACGCGCTTCCCCCTCTCGCTCTCTCTCTCTCACTCGCATTCACTCACCTGCGAAGTTCTCGTCGACCTCCTCGTCCGACGCCATTCCCCAGCGGCGGGCTCGCTTCTCGGTACCGAGGACGACGACGAGGGACGAGCACGACAATCACAATCACGAAACGTTTACAAGTGGTAACAGTGGATGATGACAGGGCGAGAGGACGAGACGCTTCGCGGCGTGCGTGCGGCGTGTGCGGTGTCTCGCGATCCCGCCAGATCCCCAGACGACGCTCTATCCTCTCTCTCTCTCTCTCTTTCTTTCCCTTCGCTCCTTTCTGCTCACCTCTCTCACTGTCTTTCTCTCACGGACGCGCGGAAACGCCGCGGAAATGCAACATCAATGCACCGTCCGCGCTGCTGCCTGCCACGGCGACGCTCTCTCTGTCGCTCTCTCCGCGCGCACTCCTCCTCCTGGGGCCTCCCCGGCTGGCTTCGGCGGTTCGTTCGGCGTGCCGTCGCCGTCGGTCGCTGGGTATACGCGGTATACCTATACCCTCGCACGTATATATATATATATGTGTACACGGTTTACGACGGATGTATACGCTACTCTCCTCTCCGTCGCCGCTACTATATTTCGCCACCGTCGCGCGACTCGTCGTTTCTAGTGTTTCTACTCCCACCGCTATACTTACTTCTCAACGGTGTGCAAAGAGCTTCTCTCTCTCACTCGTCTCCCCCCTCGCGTCGCCGACCGAACAGTCCCGCGAATTCACACACGCCAGCGTCTCTCCTCGACAAAGCACGATTTCCCTCCTCCTCTGTTCTATCACCCCCTCTCCTCTTCCCCCCCCTAATCTTTTCTATCTTCCTCACCTGTCCATTTACACTGCCACGTCGAATCGTTTCGCGTTCTATTTTTTTTTTTTTTTTCATACGAATGACTTATCGAATTTTTTTTTATTCTTCTAAAAAATGCATTTCGTGGAATCGCGTGAAATTGCGTTAAATCAAAATTTAACACGGCACACATACGTACTATTGCATACATATGTATATACACACCTGCTGGATGCATCGAGTCTGTTCGTTTAGTATTCTCTGTTTACTTTTTAGGGCGAATTCACACCTTGACAGAAAAGCAGAAGCCAATCAGAATTCGCACTGATAGCAAGAAAAGCAGAAAGCAAAAACTATTGACTACCAACTCGAATTCTGATTGGCTTCTGCTTGTCAAGATGTGAATTCGCTCTTACAGAGGCTGTGTTCAGCAGAAAAAGTAGTTTTGCAACTGTTGTAAAATTAAAACGATGATTAGTTTATTTATTTAAATATACATATATATATATATTTATTATATATTTAGTAAAAATTTGAAGGGAGCTACAAATCTACAATGTAAATACAAATATCCCGTCGCCAATCACGAAGTCATTGCGACAGCCAATCAGAAGCGTCAATAGTATTATTGACGCTTCTGATTGGCTCTCGCAATCGCTTTGCGATCAACGACGGAACGTTTATGACGCCGTCAATGGATTCAACAGTTGAGTGCTCGCTGTTATTGGCGTATTTTTCTAGATCTCAGGATCTGATTGGATAACCTAAAGGAGTACACCAATAGCAGCAAATGCTCACTTAGTTCCGAATGTATTCTAAAGGCGAATTCACACCTTGATGGAAAAGCAGAAGAGCAGAAGCCAATCAGAACTCGCGCTGGTAGTAAGAAGAGCAGAAAGTAGAAACTGTCGACAATCAGCTCGAGTTCTGATTGGTTTCTGCTTTTCTGTTTTCCGCGTTTCTGTTAAGGTGTGAATTCGCCCTAAAGGTCCATCTACAATAACTGCGTTCCTTTTGGCGCTTACAGCGCTTATAAGCATCATTTGTCTTTGTTCAATATTTGATAAGCAACAAGGATGAAATGATTTTGTGGGCGCTGTAAGCAGCTGTAAGCGCCAACGAAACGCAGCCAATGAGAGTAGTAAACCATAAGGGTACCTGCACACTGGACGCGGAAACGCTTGCCGCGCGGCAAGACACAACGCGGTAGCCAATGGACGTGTCATCTTTCTTTAGGAGCTGTAAGTTTATTGGCTACTGCGTCGCATTTTGCCGCGCGGCAAGCATTTCCGCGTCCAGTGTGCAGGGGCCCTAAGCCGTAAGAAATTGGACAATCAGGGCACCATTCATGAAATTTGTCGGAATGGATTCCGATCGGAATTGTCCAATTATTCCCTAAATTTTTGTTTTGTTTTTCTAGGGAGAGCTGAATAAATTCCGATCGGAATCCATTCCGACAAGTTTCATGATAGGTGCCCAGAGTCGAATATAAGAAGAATAATTGGCTGTGATTGGTCAATTTCTTATGGCTTACGATCTTAATTACTAGATTATTCGACATTCTAGACTACTTTAGAAATAAAAGAATCTTCTTTTACATGAAATCTTAGATCGCGCGGCAAATTATGCAAAAAAATGGGTTGTTTTGATTGGTCAATACGGATGACGCGCGCGCTCAGAGTGGAAACGCACCCTAATAGTGTAGCGTTTCCGAGCGTGTAGAGGGCGCAACCGAGCGTTTCGTCAGAATTGAATTGAGCTGCATTGAGCACACCACGGGCCTGACACGGCTAGGCTAGATCGACGCATTCACGGGGACCTTTCGTCGAGGGTAGATAAATCTTTTGTAAAATGGTAAATAAATTGGATTGCTAACTAAACCGACGTTACCCGATAACTTAATTCCACGAACGAAACGCCGCTGCGACGTTACTCGACGGTCACGCACAAATTCGTGAACCCGTTCGCGAAGACCGGTACCTTCCCCGTTCAACATCGAGGTTATCTCTCCCTCGCGAGCCTCTTCGCTCGCCTCGAGACCCGCTCACGGCGATTGCGAAAACGTCGCGCGATGACCCACGAAATTCTTTCTACTCGCGAAAATCAATTGCGCCTTCCGCAACTATTTGTCGAATCGCACTGACAACGAAATGACGTGTGCACACGTCGAGCGACGCACGTTTCTTCAGTGAAGTTTATCGCGTTAAACGCGACTGTCGAGTGGATTCTTGTGCGAGCCACGGACTGAGGTGGACGTCCGTGGCCGAGCATTCTACTTCCGCTTTAGTATTCCATCAAGTTTTAGTATTGCGTCATTCGAGTCGCGATCCTGGCTGTATCTGACCCTACCTCAGGGCGGAGCCGTAATTTAAAGAAGAAGAAGCGACTAGTCGAGTAACGTCAGTGAAGGTTTATAACCAGGGTTGTGCATCTACGCGTAAAATATAATACTCTACGTTTACGTGTAAACATCGTAAACTATTGTAAAAGTGTCATCTATGTAGACAGTCAGTAGACTATATATTTATTCATTTAATAAATATATAAAAATTAACATTTATGTAAAAAAAAACTACTATTTGAGTAAGAAAAATTCTCTGGTTGCATTTTTTAATCTTAATCTC